CAAATAATAAAATTTTGCAAACGAAACCATGCTATATGTATTATTAATATTCTTTATCTGATAACAATAAAATACAATGAAGGGTCGTAGATTTTCTTGTCTTCAAACTAAATGAAAAAAAAACCAAAATAGACTCCATTAATCCATTGATTTTCTACTTCAATTAATATGTTTTAGTTCAAATACCATTCAATTTCATGCTCTATGTTATGCCTCATAGAGCAGAAAACTAAATTATGCAGATCCTTTTTACTTTTAATGGACGAAAGTTGAGCGAGTATGTATTGATGAACATTATTCAGTTGAAGTAGACAATTGTATCGCTTAGAGTACTTCAGGAACTATTGTTTGTACCGATAAAACAGCATATTCGCTTTTTCAGCTGGTATTAAATTGAGAAATTCAAATACAAAAACGATCAAAATTTTTTTCGTGCAATAACCTAAGGCATGAAAGTCTTGGCATAATATATTTCTACTCAATATTATTATAAAATCAGTATTGGTAAAAAAATGCGGTTTTAAAAAAACATAACTTGAGTAGATAGAACGCTTCGTAAAGCAAGTATTACTCTACAAAACTCACAAGAAAACGGTTCCAAGTGTCGAAGTGCTTCTGAGTCGGGGCTATGTATATCATGTAGGTTTTGAAAAGCTATGAACATCTTACCTCTCAGAAAGACAGCGAAAACTGAGTTTCAAATTTCGGCTGGAAACTTTGAACAGACACACGTCTTATTGAGAATAGTGTTATTGTAAATGTTCCAAATCCTTTGATTGCTTCGATCCTCAGGTATGACTATGAAAAAAGTATGCTTTTCTACGCCACCATAAGTGGCACACCAGTACTACAAGGGGTTGAAATAGCTACTCATAACTGTACACTCGTTAAGTACCATCTCTATGCAAAGTTTCAAGTCGAAATTCAAAAATCAGTTTTCCTGTTAACATAGCATTTATTTGAGTACTAGAAAAAAATATGTTTGCACTAGCTTAACTCTTTATCTTTATTGCCCACTACAGTGATGATTTGTAGAGCGATTGTAGAAGAATAAAAGCAAACATGTCTTGTAATGTGTACTCCATAAACTATCAATTGATAAAAAATTATTTGTAAATGAAATATTATTCTATCAACAAACAGGATATATAATGTATATGTAGTGTGCGACATATCACGATGACAATGTCTATTACTGATATCAATACCATCCGAAAATTTCACAAAAGCTACGTTGGTAGAAAATAGATAATAAAAGACGGAAATGGTAGAGCAAATCGTTCTCTACAATATGAGATACCCAGGTCGATCGTTCCGGTCACCGGATACTGCAGGAACCGGCAGGAAAGACGCGGAAAAATCGCCGGTTCCTGCAGGAAAACACCGGAAATCAACGGAACATGGAAGCAGTGTTCCGGCCGGAAATTTTTCGGACTTTTTCCGGCGGATTTCCGGCCGGTTCCTGCCGGAAAGAACAGGAATTGGCTGGAATCCACCGGAAAAAAATCCGAAAAATTTCCGGCCGGAATACTGCTTCCATGTTCCGTTGATTTCCGGTGTTTTCCTGCCGGAACCGGCCGGTACTTTTCGACCTGGGTATCTTCAAAGTACATCAGATTTGCGACACTAATATTCTATCTCAACGTTTGTATCATCAATGACTCTCCTGAAGCCACTATGGCCAATGAAGAGTTGATGTTTTGAGTAATGCGATGACAGGTTCTTCGTATTAAGTTCTTTTGACACTCTTATTTATACTGCATCTATGCCATTTCGAGAGCTATTGATATCCTGTATGAGTCATACACATAAGAGCAAAACAAACATATATTCGATTATTATAACTTTTACGGCTGACATGACTATCATTCTTTGACGAGAAAATTAATTTATTAGTATAAATGCTCAATTAATAAACGATTATTCTTGTTAAATGAACATGTTTTGATGATAGTAAAATTTTTAGGTCTCTCCTGACATTTCCGAATTTCGAAACTAACCGAATCAATGTGAGCTCTATTTGCATTTGAATAAGAAAAAATTGCACCTAATCAACTCAATCTATTTCATGGTATGAACACTGTTAATGGAAAAATAATTCAAGAAAATGAAGCGATAGAAAAGCTTCTATGATTTCTTGAGATCTAGATCGAAGTTTCACTATCTTTTCTTTTAGTCTTTTTTAAAGTCACGATGCAATCAAGATCATTGATTTGATTAATGAAAAGTAGAAACAAGACTTTTTTAGATGTATTTGAAATAAGACAGAAGTACAATACTTTATGACGATCAAACTATTTTTCAGACCTACAGAACCTATCCGTGAGCGCTCATTTGCGTAGAACAAAATTCAAGGAAAAATCTAGTCATTAGTCACTATTCAATAAATCTCTTCTTCGACATGCATCTCATATACTAGGTTTTGTTGTACTCTTTTGTGCCCTCAAATAACAACCTGTTTGCCATTATTGAAGCCCATCGAGTTCTAGTCACAAGTCGCGACGGCACCATCCAAAGCAATCAATAGAAAAGTAGTGTTTTACAAAAACAATATCTTAAAAAAGTGTACCTATTAATACTTAATAAACTGTTTTAAACTAACTTTAATACCTAATAATCAGCTTTTGGATACTTTGTCTCTACACGGGATGCTGCGTTTGACTGCGTAATTCAATGACGTAGATGTATAGTATGGTAGTAATTTCACATTATACGTGCCGTAATCTCATTATGATAGGATTGTAATATTGAACCCACGATTAGGGTCATGTACGGTATGTTTATGTGTCGTAAAGTAACCGTCAACGGCCATATACTGACCGAATCGTCCGATCTGAGTAGTTTTTTCCTTGTTCGATTTTTTTATCAGAACTAATTCTGATAGAATATCATGAACCTCTACGGATCTAACAATTTTATTTAAAGAAAACAAGTTCTAATGTCCATTTCAGAGATAAATGGCCGTGGGTATTTTTCGAATAACTTTTGATAGGAATGAGATAGAGAGCTGCGATTTTCACCGTTGAAAAGAGTAGATGAAAATACATCGAACCATATATGGAAAGATTTTTCGAAACGACTTTCCTGAAGGTTTTACGTAAAACTTCAAGAAAAACAGCATGCCTCTCATGATTGTGATATTAATTTACTGACTTTCAGGAGTGTGCTAGAACTGCCAAATGAAGAGCTACAAAAAACTATGGAAAGGCTCTATTCGTAACTACTACCAATACGATATTCTAGCCATTGGAGTGCAATTCACCACCCAGTTTTTCAACAAAATAGTCGAAAAAAGGAGGTTTTTTGTGATATTTCGATAGAAAAATCACTTTTTTAACGTAGGAGAAAAACGCAATTCTTTGAAAACGTTTGACTAAAACCTTCAGGAAAGTCGTTTCGAAAAATCTTTCAATATATGGTTCGATGCATTTTCATCTGCTCTTTCCAACGGTGAAAACCACAGCTCTCTATCTCATTTCTATCAAAAGTTATTCGAAAAATATCCACGGCCATTTATCTCTGAAATGGACATTAGTTCATATCTTCCGTATATTATTTTGAGCAAACGCAGCATCGACTAATGTATCTTCAATCTTTTTGTTTTTAACGTTGAGCTTTACGTTTTCATCGTTTTTTGTGCTAATTTGTTGCCTTAAAAAATTTAAAATAGTATAAATTGATTGCTTTTTCGTTGAATTCTTTATAGCTTCTTCTTCGCCTTCTAAATCTTCGTTCATTCCATCATTTAATTCAGTAAGATCATTATGATTAAACGTAAAATCATCATCAAATATAGCTGGTGCTTCAGAAATATTTCTATTTAAAAAATCATTTTATTTAAAAGCGAAAAAATTTTAATTTCTTTCAGTGCATTTTGACTTCAACAATGAGATGTTTTTGGTAATGGTTTACCATCACCAGCCATAATAAAATCATCGAAAAAACTTTCAATGTCGAATCAAAAGAAAAACGACCACATCATTTTACTTTGTCATCTCCATCATGATGTACCCGATTTTGATTCTAAAAGTAAAATCTTACATTTTTCTGTTGATTATTTTTGTTGCTATCATACATCATGATCATCTCGTCGCGTATGACTGGATGATGCTTGTTGATGTTGAGATGCAGTGTATTTGTTATCATCATTCCTATCTTCACCCTCGATTAAAAATCATTTTGACTATGAGAAAAAATAATTATTATTAAAAGTAAATTTGTTATAAAATTTATTTTTCTTGGTTTATTTTTATTATCAGCGATTAATCTTTATTGATAAATATCAAAAGAATAATATTAAAGAAAAAAAATTGATTTCTTTACTGTAAATCATCACTATCAATTTCTTCATCTACATTTTCTGACTCACTGAGAGTTGATTGTCATTTGTATCTTCTTCCTAGATTAGAAAGAAGCAATGGAGTTCTTTTGAAAACTTTTGTATTTTACATCATCTGGTTAGACAATGAAATTCTGTAGGTCTTTAGAGGCTTGTTCATCCATTTCTTCTTCTTCATCATCAGTACTAAAAACAAGAAAACATGACAACATATTCATGATTCTCGTAGGAAATTTACTTGCTCGATTTGATTTAATTTTTTTAATAGCAGCTATTCGTTATTTTTTTTGTATCAGCTATGGAGAAAACATTAAATCAATGGATGCTATTGATACGATATTCATAGTACTGTCAAATTATCGATCATCATGATTCTACCATTCAATTGAGTGTCAAGAAAACGTATAAAATAAACTTTGTTGCATCATTGCTGTCATGAAAATAAATAGCCACTATTAGAGACGAATTGTAAGGGAACGAAGTAAACGACCATCATTTTGTACATGTACTCGCCGTTGATAGCTAAAAGAGACAAAACGTCTAACTGTCGTATGTTATTTACCAATTTAACGAGAGTAGATGAAGAGAAAGTGCACCATTTTATAATTTCAACCCATATGAAGTTACTGCACATAATTATGATGGTGTAAAATATAATAATATGTTTCAACAATCATCATTCCGTGGTGGTCCTATGCATCTAGGAAGAAGGTAAGTCTAATGTGTTTAAACATCAATAGCACTACTGATCTTTTTTTCTTCAAGTATTGGAGACAGTGACAATTATGGTACTTATTCAGATGATGTTAGCGGTTATGGCGATCGCTCGACTTATTATTCGCCGCATGATGACCGTCGTAATTTTCATGATCGTGATCAGGAACAACTCTTTAGTTTTCGTACCAACAAGTAGAATCAACTATGTAATCTGATATTAATCTAATAAAAGGAACTAATGATCAATGAATAACCTTTTGGAAAAAGAAGAAAATTATTTGTTATTATTTGATATGGATCGATTCGATTCGTCAATTAGGAATTGATAAGTTTGAACTATTTATTTGATCTAACTTCTTCTTTATGGATTCAAATCGATTGTTGTCAAAACGTGAATTGTTTCAAATATATCTGGAATGAAATAAATAAATGAATATATATATATATCTTTTTTTTGGAGAAGTTAAAAAAGATCGGAATGAGTGTTTGTAGAAAAAAAATATGGAAATGGATTAAGGAAGAAAGCGCAGAAAAAAATATTTTTTTGACCAAAAACGATTTGGATGAAACAATGAAAGAAATGGATTGGGTCTGGGTGCAGATTTTTGGTCCTATGCTCACTCATAGCCACATCTTTACCCATACGCACTCACAGTCACAGCCACACCCATCCTCTATTATAGTATTGAACTTCCTCATTCAAACAACTATTGTGGTCTTGTCGTTCGTATGCTCATGATGAACATAGTGTTGTTTGAAATATATATTGTGATGAAAAAAATGAATGATTAACGGAGAACCATTTGCATTTGTTTATTTTATATTGTTATGTTTCATGTTGTTATCTATTATTAAAGTTTTACTTTAGATATTGTCGTAATACTGGAATTCAGAATTTTTGAACGAGTCAATGTTTCGATAAAAAATAAAGATAGGTCTTCACTTTGGTTGTATTTCTAAAACACTTCAAGTAATGCCAGAAAATATTCAAACAAGATTAAAATATAGAGAATCGGACACTCTATTTAACTACGTATGATGCAATTTATTTCATACTATGAAACCTAAAAAATGGGTGATTCTTTTGAGAATCATACTAAGCGAATTTTTTCCTATGTTTTTATCAATTTGATAGGTATTTATTTTCATCATAACTCATCTTCGATAAGGCATATCAAGCTGAAAACACTGTGATGAATGTATCTCACTTTCTTCTACTGGTGGCTCAAATTTCATTGAATTTTGACAATACTTCGAAACATCAGCTATATTATTTAAATAAAACGAAATTTTTTTAAGGAAAATCTCATGCTTGTGGGTTTATAGAATTTGCTGATTTCACGACTGTTGATAACGCTCTTCTCCGAGAACCACATGGCATGAATGGCCGAAATTTGCAGATGGAAAGAGCTGCATCAAAAGAAAAATACAAGAACAATCCGGATCTAATTCACCATCTAGTGGTTCTAATACGTCTTCATTTAATCGTAATAATTCTTGGAAATATTCAGCAACAAATTCTGATCTACCACCTCCTACTACATTACCATCTCTTATTGTACCACAAAATACTGTTGGACCATGCCGAGGTAATTTTTATAATAATCCAAATTATAATGAACCTCCAACATCATTGTTAGAGTTAGAAATTTGTTTGTTGATACTTTTTTTATTTTATCTAATAGAAGTGTATAAACACACATGCACACAACAATTACACTACATCAAAGTAACTAGAACAGAAAGTGTTAGGGTTCACGCTCGCGAAGAACGACGAACACTGTTAAAGATGTATGTATTTTCTTCTCTTCATTTATTCTTTGAGAAAACAAATGTTTATAAATGCACATAAAAACAATGACAAAATAGAAAAGAATACAAAGATTAATGAAGGACCAAGAAAAGCAATAGAAACGAAATAACAGAGACGAAAATATTAAAGAAAAGAGAATAAAGAGGATTGAGATATATATTATCAGAATTACACCCGTAGAGACTATACTGAGTTCAAGGTACTCGTTACTGAGGTGATTTTCACCAGAGTACCCGAAACAGTATCCTACTACACGTATGTCACACGGACTTGATCGGATACCCTGCTGGAATTTGTGCCAGTACCTAGTACTGATCAGGTACTTGATTGGGTGCTTATCCAGTTTCTATAGCATTGTATGGAAAATTTTTCAATATGTTAGCGGATTGAAAACCCCTAGAAGCATTCTGGAGTCAATAGCAAAAAATCCAAAAAGTATCCCAAGATACTGAAGTACCCAAAAGTTTCTGTGACATACTGGTAGCAGAATATCCTTTTGGGTACCTTGAACTCAATATTTCCAGTAGGGACTGCAATAGAGATAAACACGCATATGTATATATATGTATATCATCTCGAACATCCAGACCAAACCAAAGAGAAAAGCAAATACAACAAAAAAGAATACAAAGCGATCGAAAGATACAACATCGAACGAAAAAAATAATATCATATCCAAATAAAGGAGAAAGAGAAACGTAAATGTCGATCTATATGAAACCGAGGACAAATAGTAAATGATGAAAACAAGAAGATACATCGTGAGAGTGGAGCCGCTGACAATCATCATATGATCAACAAAGTTATAATTCAAATGTATCACGTTTTTATCGACTAATGCCTCTTTATACTGTTTATTCACAATTCTTTGTTTCAATAGGACAAAATCAACTTCCCCCACTTATGCTAGAACAATCAATGATGCCTTATGACATTCATGATAATACTTCAAATGTGCTTTTTAACAAAATGCAAATCAGTCATCAGATTCAAATTATAGGCAAACACCTCAATGACCTTATGTACATAATCCACGGCAAGATTTCGAAAATAATCCAAATAATTTTGATGAAATGGATAATTCATTCAATTTACCATCACTATCATCAAGTGGAAATGATGGATATAATTATGTTTGATCAACATCATCACCATTTCATAATTTCAATACATATGAAATTAATGCACAAAAGGGTGAGATGAAAAATATAATGATATGCCTCAATAATCATCATCTCGTGATGGTGATTGTTCTATGCATGGAAGAAGAGAGTAAATCTAATGTATTTTAACATTAATAGCGTTACATGATCTGTTTTTGTTTAAATGATAGTGGCTTTTATGATAATCGCTCGATTCCTTATCCACCATGGGATGACCATAATGACCGTTGTCCTCGCCATGTTTGCTCTAATTATGATGATCGTGATGATCGTCATTATTCCTGTAATTGTCGTGATTGTTGTGTTTACAGGTCTAAGAAAAAGGCGTTGTAAACGACTTTAAACGTCTTAATAACTATGTACAACATCGAAAAACAAACATCTCGTAAAACGGTGTGTCAGATTACGATGAATCCAGGGTCAAAATTAATGCTGTAATTGTGGTCGTGTACAAAATATTTATTTAAACTTATGAATATGTATTTGTAATAAAGTTAATGTGATTTTTTTAAATAAAAATAATTTAATCTAACTTGAAATCATTTAGTTTTATTAATTCATCTTATATTTGTATCGGATTCAGTTAAATAACCACTTTGGAATTCTTCTGGTTCAAATAATTCTTCAGCTTGTGAAACTATCGACTTATATCTCTACTCATCGTACAAACAGCTGTCATATATCATGAATCCTCTTGAGCTCAAACGATCGAAATCAGGCTATTTTTTTGTGGACCTCCATTTCTACGGTAGAATATTTGATAAGGATTTCAAACGTGTAACTCTAAGAACGGCTGAGATCACAGAGAGATACTTACGATCAGTCATGTGGTCAATAGTACTAGTTTAAAGCAATATCTATTGACAATATTCTTGTTAATGAAAATTTTGAAGAGTTGTATCCTCAAGAAAAAAAATTAGTTCAATTAATTGAAGCAGACTAGAAATATTGAGGTTTTCATCGTCTAGCTATTTATAAGCCACTTTGTATGTATTTTTAAAAAATGATTTATTCTATTTTGAAGAATTTATCTTTGTTGAGAGAAATTATTCATTGCAGCAGCCAACTTACCATATAAAACTCAATCATCTTTTTTCCTTCAATTTTATTTTGGGTAAAATAATATTTAATACCGATTAAATAGTTTATGCCAAAAAAACAATACACGACAGACGATCGACATGACAGACAACAACAAAAAAAAACAGAACTCACGATTGGCAAAGCATCGTCTAATTCGATTACTTTCGAAATGAACAACATCGAAAAAAAAGAGTACTACTACATAGTGAGATTGAATGAAAAATGAGTCACACATATATAGAAAAACAAAACGAAAGAATGTCTCTCTCTCTCTCTCTCACGTATTCAAAGCGTTTATGTTGCACTTTATCTGACAAGAGAGACTTATATAAACTCTCTTTTTCTGATCAAACCATGAAATTAAAAAAAAGAACAAAACAAAAAATCAATGCTCCCCTTTTCTCTAACTACAAAAAAAATTACTCGATATACAAAAAAAAGGGTAATATATATGAGAAGCACTACACAGCAAACAGACGACATGTACCAATTTTACAAAAAGAATAATCCGAAACCTTTCTGCTGCTTATTTTTCAATACTTTTGGTTTTACCATTACCATTATTATTATTATTATTTGTTATACTTGTCGGCTTGCCCTGTTGTTTTGGTTCTTCATTATTAACTCGAGATCGACGACCTGAACCTACTTATGATCCAAACAAAAAATATAAAATTAAAATGTAAAAGAAATTAAATTCTCTCATTAGAGATGTCGAAACACAGTTCATTGGAACCAATATTTCGAGCATCCAGTATAAAATGAGAATATATACATATATATATATAAAACACAGCCTGTTGTCTTTTATTCTTTTTCTTTTTTGGAAGACGGATAAAAAAATGTTAAACACACAGATATACTATTTGTCACTATAAATCTTGTTTAAACAATATACATGAGAGACATTGTCAGATTTGTTTTCTATATCAATGCTAAGCGATATATCACACCGGATAAGTTTTTCGTTTTTAAAATGTTTTCAAAATATAAACGGAAAAAAATGACAATATTATTGTTGTTGACATTGTTGTTGAAAGCCTAGAATTATAAATAAAACACTTAATGAGTAAAGCTTAATGTCGCGATGAAACATTTGGAAATATTTTAGCGATACATCAACGATACTCAATTATGTGTAATAGACAAAATAGTAACAAAGAAAAAACATGATTACGCACCACCCGAATCTAAATGATTAACAAATGCTTGTAATAATTCATCTTCACTCCAAATACGACTATTTAGTACATTAAGTAAATCAGCAGGTATTATCATTAATTCACTTGGTGTACCAGCACGACTAGTTGAAGGTGATAAAAATGGACTTAAAGCAGGACTTAATGCTGCAAATGCCTATAGAAAAAAGTAAAGTCAGAAATCATTGTATATCTTAATTAAAAGTCGAGAAAACACATCGAACTATTTTCATCTATTTTACAGTTAACATCTCTCGCTTAAGTTCAATCTGATATGTACATAGATGTATAACCGAATTGTACATTTGTGAAACACAATCTAAATGGAGTGTTAAAGTATAGAAGTGAAAACTTGGACTGTTGCCACAGACCATAACAGACGGTAGTCAGAGACCATCATAGATCGTGATTAGAGCCCGTCAGATCTACACTTTTCGGACTTGGACGCAACTAACAAAAAAATTTCAGACCCAAGAATAAATCAAATTCCTAATGGTTAGCAATAGTAGCTACATTATGCTTTATAATAGTAATCTCAGAGATTATGCTCACAACTGCTTCTATAAATTCGTTATTTTAACCATTAAATAATAAAATACCTGTCCAAGTGGACTTTGAAAAATACGGTTTCCTGGTGTGTAAAGTACTCCTAAAAAATAAATAAAATAATTTATAAGAAAATATTTCAAATAAATAAAACCATTATTTGATGAACTAGTCGATCCAGTTGGTGTAGCAGTATGCGACGATGACGATGATGATGTATGACGTACAAGACCATCATTAGTTGCTAACATTGGTACTGGTCGTGGAATGAGATTTTGTGCTGAACCAATTGATTGTGAAAATTGTACAACTTTCGTTGGACTTAAACCACTTTTATTTGGATCAGGTGGTGAACACTAAAAATTTAAATATGTCAAATGATAATAATAAATAAATCTAATTATTCGTACATCTTGTGATTCAGGTGGTGAACCATTAATTGATGTTGATGAATCAAATTTTAATGTTTGATGATGATTTTGTTGAATATGAACAGATGGTTTTTCTTTTCCTGTTGTTGATATCCATGCAGCTGGACTTAACATTCTTGATGAATTTGTATTTCCATTATTTGATCCTTGTGGTGTTTCTAAACCAGTTTGTGATTCACTTGAATGTGATTGTCCACTTGAATTTCTTGAACGTTGTTGTCGACTAGCTTGTTCAATTTGTTTTTGTAATTGTGTACTACGTGTACGTTCTTGCTCATATAACATTAATAATAAATCACATAGATTACGTGACTCTTGAGTTGACATTGTCGAATTATTTTTCGTTTTATTAATACTATTTGTTAAACCAACATTATTGTTATTATTATTATTATTATGATTATTATTATTTGTAGAATTATTAATTGAAGATGAAGATGAGGATGTCGAAGAAACATTA